TGGACCAGTCAAACCCAGACTGGACCAGTCAAACCCACACTGGACCAGTCAAACCCAGACTGGACCAGTCAAACCCAGACTGGACCAGTCAAACCCAGACTGGACCAGTCAAACCAATCAGCTCAAAGATATTTCTGTCATTTGTTATTTTGATCATTTTATTTTCAGTTTGATCAGATTTTAATCAAATGTAATTTTATGTGATGCTGAAGTTGTGTAACTGTACGACACAAATAAAGTTGGAATAAAGAGTCCAGATTTTTCCAACAAACACGTCCAAACTCTAAACCAGTGAAGGACACGAGACCAGAGGACAAATATCAGTGTTTCATGTGGATCTTTGTGAAACAAAAACCCACAGGTCTGACACACAAAGAAAAGAAAAGTGAGCGCACAAAGGCTGGACTTCTGGAGACCATCTGTCCCCACAGAGGGACTGGACCACCAGTGACCCTGAAGGAAATCAGTTCAGCTTCTTCTGTCTTTCACATGAAAATCTAAAGATAAAAACTTTTAACAGTTAATTAAAACCTCAAAAAAACTTTTATTAAAAATAAACAAGCACTCCATGTAAACAACAAACATCCTGTTAAAGAAAAAAACACTTTAATGTTTCTTCATGCTGTCGAACATCACGCTGGTTGTTTGTAAACAAACATGTTTATAAACCAGTATCACACTGGTTGTTTGTAAACAAACATGTTTACAAACCAGTATCACACTGGTTGTTTACAAACCAGTATCACACTGGTTGTTTACAAACCAGTNCTGAGTCCTGATCCAGACTCTGAGTCCTGATCCAGACTCTGAGTCCTGATCCAGACTCTGAGTCCTGATCCAGACTCTGAGTCCTGATCCAGACTCTGAGTCCTGACCCAGACTCTGAGTCCTGACCCAGACTCTGAGTCCTGATCTGCTGTAATGAAAGAATTTAAAGTTTTAATCTTCTCTGACAGGTTCAGACCCATCAGGATTAATTAATCTGGATTAGTGACACCAGGTCCCAGTCCTGTCAGAGGTCTGGTCTCAGTGGCTCACCAGCAGCTGTCTCAGGTAGGACTGGGTCAGACCCCTCAGCTCCTCCAGGGTGTAGTCCTCAGGCATGGGCAGACGGCTGATGTGGGGCACCAGCTGGACCAGGGGGGCCTCCCCCTGCTGCAGGCTCAGGACCACCCGCAGGATGTTGGCCACGCGCTTCGCCATCTCTGCAGGGAGGGGGAGGGGCAGGGGGCGGGGTCAATACAGTTCACTAAAACTAATGAAAACTGAAACAGAACTAACATAAATAAAAACTAAACA